TTTCTCAGAGATGAATATATGTGTATGCGTGTGCGTCCCACACATCTAACATGCCAGACACGGTCACTGCACAGCTGGCCACAGCTGTAAAATAAAGCCATTCGTTCTGGGATTTTTCTCACGGATCAGCGGTCCAGAAATACCCGTGATATCCATCACAAATATTTCTGTTATGGATTTAGTTAGAACCCTGGCTTGGAGGAGGGGAGCGGACAAACGAAAAGCCATGGAAGCTTATCCACTGACACTTGGGAACGAGAGCTTAAAGCCAGATTCCTGCCTCAACGACACTACCTGTCTTTGAGAAATGAGTGGGCCACCTGATCTCTCTCTCTCTCACCTGTCAAACGTGTCAGCAGGTAGAGAGCAGGGTCAGAGAGACCCCTCAACTTGAACACGCCCCTTTCTCTCCCAAACTGCATCTATGACAGGGCGCCGCGGCAAAGGAACAGCCCGTAATCGTTCGGCTACGTTACTCAGTGACACGTCGATAGGCCTAGCTGATGTCCCCAAGTAGTGGAGGCCATGCCGACCCCCAAGCTCCTCTGTGAAGAACGTGGGCCCGTCAACCCTGCCTGCGTGTCAATTCCTGCTCCCACAAATACCCTGCTTGGGCTCCGTTTATCAACATAGCATGACTACCATTAAATCATGGCGAGCTCTCTCTCTATTTATGAACAGTTGAAACAATACCTTTCTTCATTGCAGGCCTCCTTTGTGAGAGAATGTTTTAAAAGTCCCTACTTCTCGAGGCCGCTCCTCTCTGTGCTCGGCTCTATTAGGAAATGCCCTGGAATGCCAGTGAGACCGTGGGCTGGCTTCTTCTGCAGAATGTGTAGACGGGGCGTGCACCTGCCCCACCGCTCGAGCCCCGGGCGTCCGGGCATCTCAGCAGTTGCTCTGAAGGCCCCGGGTGTTTATCTCCCCTCAGGCAGCTGACCTGCCTCCCGTTTCTTGAGCAGAGCAGTGGAATTTGGTGGAAGAGACCCAGACCTCCGGCCACCCAGATTAGAGAGTTTTGTGCTGAGGTCCCTATATGGTTGTGTTAGCCTGAACGCCAGGCCCAAGTCTGTCTCTGTTCCTTGTTTGGGAAGCAAAGGGGAGGGAAGCAGGCCAAGGGGCTATATAACCCTTCAGCGTTCAGCTTCCCTGAACACCACCCAGAGCGGAGAAGCCCAGCTGAGCGCTGTCAGGGTAAGTGGCTCGGACCCAGGGCTGTGACTTCCCCATCCCGGCGGCTTTGACATTACTCAGTGCACTCAGACGTCATCTGCAGAGATTTACTTGGGCTTGTGCCCTCTGCAATTTCTGAATGAACATTGTAGTACTAAGATGATTGTAGCTTTTAGCTTCCCATTATCTAATATTAAGAACAAAGTTAAGATGCGGTTTGGCGTGGGGGGAGGAGGAAAGGAAGACGGAACAGAATCTGTGTGTCCCCTGCACCATCTGTTTATGCTACATCCACAGCCCAGGTCTGGCTGTGCTCTTTCAGAGATGCAACCTAGCAATTTCCAGTGAGTTACGCGTTTATTTCTACTTAGGCACCAGGGATTCTAGTACTTTTTGAGGCTCGCTTTGGCATGGAGATTTTTCATCGGATGGTATTTTCGGGGCCGCTGGAGGCGCCTGGAAATGCATTTGAGAAGTGAACAGAGTCTAGTGGCCTCGTCTTTGGTATTGGCTGTTTACGTGCTCGCATCAGGGTTCCTGTGGCTGTAATTGGTAGTGTCTTCTGTAGCAAAGGCACGTCTGTGAACCTACACTCCAGGCTGTGCCTCGCACGCTCCACTGGTCATTTGCAGCAGGAAACAGGCTGTATCTTTCTCTGTGAATAAAGAGGGAGGGAGCGGCTGACAGCTGCTTGTGTGTCAGCCTAAGGGACGTCTGGTTTGCATTTCTCTCTCCCCGCAGCGAAGTGGCAGTCCCCGGGCTGAACCTCGCTGGAAATCGGGGCTTGGCCGCTTCAGCCCGGACTAGACTTTCCACACTGAGATTTGCCTTCATTCTGTGATCCATGACTAAATATGGTTTGCATTTCAAGACGGATGAGCTGGGAACTGTAGTGTTCTTCCTCCCCCACTACCCCCCCCCCTTCCCCACACTAACTACTCATTTTTGGCACAAGATGCAGGCAAAGCAGTTGGAACAACCCCCCGACCAGGGTGCAGTTCCAAACGCAGACGCTCGCCTGTGTTTTACCTAATTAGGAAATGCTTTGCTCCAAACCCGGCTGCTCATTCAGGTCAGATAAGGCTTGGACACCACTGAGTCGGCTTCTTTCCGGGGACACAGAGACTTCTCCAATGACAGTGCTCATCCGAGAGATTAGAAAATCCCTCCTGGGCTTTTTTGTCTGTTTGTTTTGTTTTATACCAAATAAAAACACGTTTACTGGCTTTTGAGATTTTTTAAATTTTCCGCATGTTTGCTGATGCTCTGGGGCAGCCTGCTTTTTCTGCAGTATGTTCAAGCTCCAAGCCCTCCCGGCCAACAAAAGAGTTAGGGAAGGGGACGTGCACTCCTGGTGACCGTCCTGTCACATTCTCAGAGCGTCCTATATCCAAGTATGTCGTCCTGTTTTCAGCATTTTGGGTTTGGAAAGTCTGCTTAGTGCATCCACAGAGAGCCCGCCACTGGGGCTGGCCGCCTCTGACACACGCCTCCGACTCTCACTTCTTGTCCTGTCTTGTCTCCTCTACGTATCTCACTTCTCCACTCCCCTCGTCCTTCCGTAGGACGGAAGCCAATCACAGGAATGCCGAGCGGTATCCAGCATCTGGAAAGGGCAGGGAGGGGTGGGGAAGGAAAGAGCAAGCCATTGGCAAGTCTTGTTTTCCGTTCTTAGGAGTGGAATCCACAGGTCAAGGATCCCCATGCTACGCCTGAAGGCAGTGTGGAAAGAAAGCAAAAACTAGAAATAAAGAGGGCGGGATAATGATCATAGTGCTATCATGCTGTCAATGATCATCCCTTTAAAACTCACATTTATGGGCATCCGTAATGTGTTTGCCACTACAAAGCATTTCAAATGCTTTTTAAAAATCTAACCCCCCATTGTAAGAGCTCTGTATAGCACATACTGATATTATTGCTGTTTGACAGAGAAGGAAACTGTGATTTAGAGATGTTAAATACCTTACTAGGTCGCAGGCTATAATCATCATTCTCTGCCATCTCCGTGGTCCTAACTTTACCAGCATTGGGATCTTGCATAAGGCACTTCAATGCCTTGAGTCTTGATTTCCTTGTTTGTCAATGGGAGAGAATAGTACCCGTCCTGGATTTTAAAACGCATCGCCTCAGTGGAGATTCATGCTTTTGCGAAGGGTTACACAGCATTCCGAAAGAAACAGCACTGATTTCGTGGGAATGATCTGGCAGAGCTCCAGAACAAAAGCAAAAGTTTTTTTTTTTCTTCTTCTTCTTCTCCTACATCCCAGAAATTTCCTTTAAAGAATTGCATTTTATATCTGGGTCAGGGTGTGCAATGGGTTCACCAACTTAGAAGAATCTTCCTCAGCTTGAAATCCTAAGCTCTCAAAGTCGGGCAGACAACGGTGGGTGTCCCTCTTTTTATGGGATAATTCTGCTTGGAAAAATGGAAGGGAATCTGAATTGAAAGTCCAGGGGGTAGCCAAGGACACTTGGTCTCTGATTCAACTCTGCCTCCAGTGCCCTGTGTGCCCTTGAGCAAAACACTTCCTCTGGGTTTTCTCATTAGTAGAAATGAGGGCATTGCATGCAAATGGTCTCTCTAAGGGACCTGTTCTCCAAAGCTGCTGCTTTGCTCCCACTTTCCAGATTTTGTTATAGGCTCGGAGCTTAAGAGTTGGATATTCAAAATATTGAATACATGCCCAATTTAGAAAATATTACAAAACCCAGGGTAGATCATTAAAAACACCTACAAAACCCACTGTCTCAAAATAATACTCATCGACATCTTGGCAAATACAATTGACCTGTTTTCAATGCATAAATGTACATTTTTAAATAGGATCATACAATGTTACTTTCTCTAATCTATTATTCTTACATAGAATATACCTTTTCCCTATCTCTTAATTTATCTTTCCTAATGGCAGCAAAATATTATACTATGGTATGTGTAACTTATTAGACTCTCCCTCGCTTGGATTTTAGGTTAGCTGTGATTTTTATTAATGGAGAATAACTGTGGCCCCTAAAATTTCAAGCACCTTCTTAGAAAGTTTCAATTGTTTTTAATGTTTCTCCAAAGGTAAAATAAAAGTTCTCAGGACCAAAAGAGATTTTTCTTCTTCTTTTTTTTTAATGTTTATTTATTTTTGAGTGAGAGACAGAGTGTAAGTAGGGGAGGGGCAGAGAGAGAGGGGGACACAGAATCCGAAGCAGGCTCCAGGCTCTGAGCTGTCAGCACAGAGCCTGATGTGGGGCTCAAACCCACAAACCATGAGATCATGACTTGAGCCGAAGTCAGACGCTTAACCAACCCAGGAGCCCGGAGATTTTTCTTTTAAACACCTTCCATTCAACATTTCCAAATATTCACATGCAGCCTGACCCTCAAAACCTACCTTTTAAAGAAAATAGTTAAAAGTTATAACATATCTAGAAAAATGTGTTCGGGCCGATGCAGACAGCATATTCCAGAAACTTCTCTCCCACGTGACACGTTAATCGGATCTTCCTGTCTGCGCTCTGCGGTTGTTCATTTATTCACCTGCTTGGTTATTCTTTAAAGTGCCCAGGAGCACCTGTGACGTGCTGGCCACCGTGCTAGAGGTCAGTTGTATGAATGTGGAAGTCTGAGTTCTGGCGTCAGTCTAATTACGGTACGTTGAGGTAGATGCTGTGTTGTATAAGGGTCAGTGGAATGCGCTCCGGGAGTACAGAGAAGGACCCCACATCCCTTCTGGAAGGTGCGAGTGGTCAGTGAAATGACATGGCTGCTGGATGACAGCGGGGGCGGCTTCCTTCCTGTTCCCCTAGGACCCTGTGAAGCAGCTCCAGCCGAGATGTGCGAAGAAGAGGACAGCACTGCCCTCGTGTGTGACAACGGTTCTGGGCTCTGTAAGGCCGGCTTTGCTGGGGACGATGCTCCCCGTGCCGTTTTCCCATCCATTGTGGGGCGCCCCAGGCATCAGGTGAGCAATATTGTACTGCGATTATGTAACGTGATGAATATCGCCTCATCGACCATCGCATGACAAGACACAAATGTATCCAGAGAACAACCGTATACCTTAAAAGCACACGATGTCGCACACCAGATTTATTCAAGAAAAGGAAGGTTGGATTGCAGTAGAGCGAAACAGGGCTACACATCAGGCCCCTCTGTGACGGGGTGCCCGTGAGTACCCACAGTCTGTCTATTGCTTTCTGCCCAGAAATTATGTGACCTTGTTAAAAATACACCTCTGGTGATGGATGTGTAGGAGTAAGTGTGAATTTCACATATGATATAGACAGATTATCTGGTGGGTGACTATCAGATATAAAGTTCACCTCTCAGATATAAGTTCACCTCTTTGTCTCATGATCATTATCATCATCAGAAATACTATGAGGTACCTAACAATGTGTACCTCAGCTACTCTTTGGAAAGAAACTAAATTAAAGGCCGAGGGCACTCACTCTCAAAGATCTTGATATTAGGTGAAAGTGAGCGTTGTCACTGAATGTAATTTTACATACTTTAGGTGTCAGTGAAATATATGTAGACAGCCACATGTTAATTTCATAGAACATTACATATAAACAAAATATTGGGGGCAGCCATATGGTAAAAAACTGAGCCATATGGTAAAAAAAAAACCTCTCAGTTTTAGAAACTCTTCACGTCAGAAATATAGCTGCTCGTTGACCCTATCTGACTGATGTTCGTGGCTCTCAGTTTGGCATACGGTCACAAGAATGAATAATAGCCCCTTCCACTGAATGAAACCTGAGATGTTTCTTCGTTGAACTGTATGCATAGAGATATTTTGCACAAGCCACTATTTATGGATCTCTAGCAGCCATGCTGTTCTGCAATTCTAAAACAATCACCCCAGTGCAATTTAAAATCCCAGTAATGAGAATTCCCTTTCTTTTGTTTTTGTTTTTGGGTTTTTTTTTTGTTGTTGTTTTTTTAAGCTTCTGTTTATTGCGTTAAAGGGCACTTGGAATGAGCACTGGGTGTTATATGTAAGCGATGAATCATGGGACTCTATCCCCAAAACTAAGAGCACACCATCCACACTGTATGTTAGCCAACTTGGCAATAAATTATATTAAAAAATAAAAAAAAATAAAAATACTTCGGACTAGTTTAGGCAAATGTCTTACTGTTGATTGGTATGGATTTATCCATTAGAAACGAAGCACTGAGTGGTCATTTGTAGATATGATGCTTTTTCACATACTCTTGGGTGGGTGACAATTTTAATAGCTTAAGGGATTTATAAGAGCACGGTGCCATTTAACTAATATGTAAAATTTCATACATTCATTTAGCAAGTAATTGTTGAGTGACACATAAGTCCCTGGCAATTTGTTGTCTTGGTGAACAAGCCAACACAGCTTCTGTCCTAATAGAGCTTGCTAAGAAATACGGCAGACAAAAAAAAAAAAAAAAAAAAA